GACATATGATCTTTAAACCGGACGGTAGCCACTAAAATCTCTCATGTTTCGAGAGTTGTGACTGTTTTTCCAAAGGCAACCAAAGTGTGTGTGTGGGGGGGGGGGGTACTCTAGAGGTGCACATGTAAAAGTGTGTTGTTTCAGTTATTTATCTTGGCCTTTAGGTTTGCTAGCGTTTTGATTATTAAGCTCTTGTCATACAATCCTATTACCATACATCTAAACAGTTAATATATGTACAGGAAATATAAAGTGTGGAAATTAAATCCTACGCTATTACATGGCTTCGGGGAGGAGGATTAATTACATATCCAAAATTGGGGAAGAGCAGTAAAGTAAAAAGTCCTAGTTATTCTATTATAAACTGGGAAGCAGATACAATAATAATAATGCAAAAGTAACTAAATGCGCGCGAATTGAAGACAACGTCCAAAGCTAAAAGGAAAAAAGTCTTTTTGTTTGTTTTTTTGTTTAATAAAAGAAAATAACAATCTAAGTCTATACTTAATTTTAATTTTAAGAAAGTGTTAAAGTCATTAATTAATTAATTAATTAATTAATTAATTAATTTGAGAAAATGCTAACTTCATATTCTTTGTGATGTTTTTGATTTAATGTTGGTTAAAAAAAGTAAAGCCATTAAAAGAAATAAACAAAACAAAATAAAAGTACAAATGGGTCAGGACAACAAATAGAAACAGGGAGGTGTAAGTTTAAAACGCAGGTCCAGATCAAGGGAGAGGCCCAAGTTTTCTTCTGATCCAATGAGGGAGGTTGCCTTTCGATCCAAGGAGGGAGGTTTTCCTTCGATCCAAGGAGGGCGCTGCCTTTCGATCCAACGAGAGAGGTTGTTGGTAGCGTATGATGGATTGCCTGTGGAGGGTATTGGATCTGAACTCCTTGTCATCCATTGGCTGGAGCTTGAAGGCACATGGGAAGTGTTTGAAATGCAGCACACTGGATCTACAAGATAATTGTTAGAAAAAAAACATAATACACGACCTAGGTATCGAACCCAAGCCCTTTCCACTGCACACGTTCCCCTTTACCATATGAGTTATTTGTTCATTCGTTGATCCAAACAAAAAACAATGATTATATGATAAACTGTAATAAAATATTGAATGCAAATCAGCCACCTTCAGTCAAGCATAAATATGCATGAACATGGTGATTCATGGTTCAGGCAGTATGTGGGTTCATCTAATGGTTCAAACCGGCATATTTGGATCTCAATAACACAATAATATGGATGATATGCACTAAAACACATAAAAATACAAATACGAATTCACATGATTATTGTAACCGATGATGCATATGCGTGCGTTTTTAACAGCTTTGCTGTGAATAACGACCCATTATTACCCTATGAACCTTACAAAGATGATTGCAACGCTTGGTTTGAATGTAAATGGGTTGAATCAAACTGTAGGCGCCTGCACTGAGTTCAGAAAATTTGAAACAACTTCAAGGTTTTGTGGAGTTTTTAGTGAGGCAATATGTACGTGTAGGCAATTCGTTGTGTATAGGCAATGTGTGTATGTCCTCTTTTGCTTGCACTTTAGCTCTATATTTATAGGGGTGCAGTGATGAACAAAAATGGCAAGAATCGGCCATTAACCATGGCTTTGAAGGTAGAATCGAAAGTCTTAAAAGGTTGCCATTGTTGATGATTTTCTACCATTTTGGGTTTTTGAGTGAACCTGGATAGGTTTCACTCCTACATATTGACTTTTCGAATGCTCCTAAGTTTTGTTCTTCAATGGTTATGAGTTCCAATTCGAATGGTCCAAGGCCTCATCATTATGGCTTCTTCGATTGAGCCACTATCTGCCTTAGTTGCTTGATTTGAAAACTATCCAATTAGCCCAATCGAACAGTTCTTGTTCCTTTCGATTTCCTTTCCTTCAATTTGACCACCTTTTCCTTTTGGTCTGTCGAAGCTTCATTTTGTAATCTCCTTCGAATGTAGTTGTGCAGGTGGCTCTTTGATTCCAACTCCCACCCTTTGCTTATGTCTACAAAAATATCTTTCTTGCTGATCACTAGTTCACCTTCGATTGGTGAATATAGCTTATATGTGCTAATCGAATGATGACTTATGAGCACCAATCATTTACCTTGATTACCCAACTCCTTCCTTGCCTGTTCAGGCACATGCCTGAAATACATTGATCCCCAAAACTCTAAGATGACTCATATTTGGCTGATTCATCTCTAACTGTCCTTTGATCACGCCATGCTTGAAGATGACATGTCCTTCGAACCAATAGGTTTCCACGTGTGTCTTTGGATAAGATAAGATATTTTTTAATTCCAAATATTCTTATTTTTGAAGCGCCCATTCAGACAACATGTTAATCAAAAGGTGACTTCCTTGTAACGCTTCGAATGACTTACATCTCCATGTTCGAAAACGAACCTTTCGATGGCGCTCATTACCAGCTCTCCCAATCGAAGGCTTCATAAAAGCCTTCTCACGCTTTCTTCCGAACTAGCCCTCATTCGATCCCAGTGTTTAGTTGGGCATTAAATTAGCCTGCATACTGTTGTCGAAGCTGCTTCAACCCAAAAGCCCTTAGGCATATTTTTAGCCTTCGACCTACACTTTGTCATGTACACTTCTTTTCTTTCTTTAAGTCGTGCCATTATGCTGAGGCATATAGGGTGTCATGTAAATCATTTAAAGCTCTGGAACTCAAACATCTTGGTGAAAAGTGAAATTAGTTGAAAGGCCATTGCTTAGGAGGAGAATTTTTCTGATCAATTCTTGGTCAACCTTGAGAAATTAGGGACCTTAATGAGTATGCCTTGAATAAAAATGCGAGGGAAAATTTTGGGGTACAACACTCAGAAATGTGTCAAACAATATGTATTTAAATTAGGAGAAATCTGCTTGATAAGAAGCACTCATGTAATCTCCAGAAAAACAATTATGTTTAGAATTGGTTGATTCCTAAAGTGATCGAGTGAAGATCTGAAGACTTGAGAAGACTCTGGCTGCGACCATTGTAGATAAAATCCTGATAGAAGATTCTGGAGAATCAGATTCTGTTGGGTCAATGAACGTAATATCCGGTTTGGATCCCTGAACGCCTCATTGGATGTTAGTCACCGGAAGTTTCCCGTGCAATTGTAATTAGATTGATTATAGTGGATTAAGTCTTTTTCTAAGGCGAAATCACCTCGGAAGGGTGGACGGGATTAGCTTGGGGGTTTCTCAAGTGAACCAGGATATATTATGTCTTCTTTACTATCATTAGTTTCTACATGCTCAAGGCTTCTGCAAACTCGTTAGAAAGGGAAAATCAAAAAGTTTTCATCAACACAATTCAAACCCCCCTTTCTTGTGTTTTTCTCCACCTTCATGTAATACTGCCATTACACCAGCTGAAGCAAGGTTGTAGCTGTCTAAAAGTGAAGAAGACCAGAACATGGATCCTACTCAATATAAAAGGTTGATTGGATCATTACGTTACCCGTGCAATACGCAGCCAAATTTGGCATTTAGCGTCAGTATTGCAAGTATATTTACTGAGAGGACGAAGGTGTCTCACTTGAGAGCAGTCAAGAGAATCCTAAGATTCGTCAAAGGGTCTATTGGCTGCAAAATTCTCTTTCCCGTAGCATATATGGATGGAAAATGAATTTTGCTCGGTTTTATCGATTCCAATTGGTGTGGAGATAAAGATTATCGCAAGTCTACAATAGGATACATCTTTATGTTCGATGGAGCACCAATCTCATAGTGTTCTAAGAAGGAACTAGTGGTTGCACTCTCATCTCGTGAAGCTGAGTATATTTCCACTTTATTATGTGCGTGTCAAATTATATGACTAATAAGTATATTGGAAGAACTAGACAACAATAAAGATGAGGTTATCACAATTTCTTGTTGATAATTCAAATATCCTTAAGATTATTAGTCAAATCCTAACAATTTAGAGTAACTTTATGTTAGCACATATTTTTGATATATTTTCTTTATTTTTAAAACATAAGTTTGATGAAGGTTGTAATAAGTGTTAAATAGTAACATGCTTAATTTTTTTATAAAATTTATTGAACCATAGACCAAAAATTTATATATAAGATCAGGATCAAATGACACCAAAATGTCAAATTTAATAACATGATACCTCTGATAATTCTTCAATTCATATATGTATTTCAAAATTCACCGTTAGATTGGAAGGTATTATCATATAGATCATTTCTATAAATTTTAACATCAATCGGAAATTATTTGACTTATTAAAGAGATGCATAAAAACTAACGTCTTACAAAATTTCATGAAAACCATTAATTTTTATAATTCTTATTAACATATCAAATAATTTTAAATTGATATAAAATTTTATGAACGCAATCTATATAATAATACCTTTCAATTCAATTCAATGAAATTTTTTGTTATACAAACATAAAATAAAGAGTTATGAAAGATATTCCTTTATTGAATTTGACACATTTGTGTCTTTTTATCACATCTTAGATGAGTTATGGCATCTATCCATTAACATACTTAATTTAATATATTAAATTGCAAAAATGAATGTTGGCTATTAAAAAATTATGAAAAAATAAAATAGCAAAGTCACTGCTCTACAATATAATTTACTTTAATTAAATTAACTACACGAGATTTCAAACAATATCGATCAAACAATTTGTATATAGTTTTTTAAACTCGTTTTAGAGTTATTTTTATTTTACAAAAAGAACCATCTGTTGATCAACAAGTGTTCAGTCTTGTGGATGAAGAAGTTTGACTCTCATTATGTGACAAATCTAAATATATATCTATGTTTAATGTCAAACGTTATCATATTTTAAATAAAATTATTCCTCATTTTTTATATAAAAATAATTAAAAACCCTACCACAATTATATTAGTACACGTCTATAATAAATAACCTCAATTCTTGGTGTACACTTCAACTACTTAGCTAACACATTATTGCTATGCCAATAATTTTATCTCACACACACAAAATGGCAACAACAAAACAAAAACTCATTTCCACCCTTAAATTTCTCATCTTCATTACCCTTTTCACAAAATCTAGTTCACAATCTCCAAACTATGTAGGTGATGATTGTCAAAACTCAACAGAACAATCTCTTACAACTACATACAGATCAAATCTTAAAAAAGTGCTATCATTGCTATCCTCAGATGCTATTGTAAGCAAAGGATATAATCATACAAGCATAGGAGGTAACACAGTTGATGGTGTCTATGGTCTCTATGATTGTAGGGGTGATGTCACAGGTTCTTTTTGTCAATTTTGTGTCTCTACTGCTGCCTCAGATATTCTTCAACACTGTCCTAATAGAGCCTCGGCTGTTATATGGTACAATTATTGCATTCTCAGGTACTAGTACATACATGAATGAAAACTCTACTAAATTTAGTTAATATGTTTAATATCTTAGTATAAGTATTAATTTGTAGCAATGTAAATTTATAACTAAGATGTGTAATTAAGATTGTTAAAAAAAACTTCTGAATCAAATCGAATTCACTATTATAAAAATTCATTTTTAGTGACTGAATTAGAGATTAAAATTTTTTAAAATCAATCACTTAAATATTTTGCGATCGATTTAATAACCATCACTTTTCGATTGATAAAGTGTTAATCGTTAAGCTTTTGAATATAAATTAAAATAATAAAATAATTATGTTTATTTAGTGAACCAAACTATATTAAATAAATAGTTTTTGAGTTGAACTAAATGATAAATAAATTACACGAATTAAAATTAAAAATAAAAAAATACTTAAAATGAAATTTAAATTTTTTTATTAAAAAATTTGAAAAATTGTATAATGATTCGGTATTTTAATAAATTATTCGGTTTGGAAAAAAATGTCTTTAATAGTTTGATACGATTTTGAATTTCAAATCAGTCTATCAAACTAATAATTTTAGTTCAATTTCGGATAAATTTAATTTAATTTAGTTCAGATGATTTTTAATAAGATTTTATTTGATTTGATTTTAAATATATGAAAATCCGAATGATGTTTTATTATGATTTAATTCAATTCAATTCTAAATAAATTAAAGCGATTTTGGTTGGAGTGATCTAATACAATTAACAACCTTATATACAGTGGACATTTAAAATTTCTAATCTGTCACTCTCGTTGTTTAGGTATTCAAACCATAATTTCTTTGGGAAGCTAACAACAACACCTTCATGGTATATTTTGGGGACAGTTAGAGAAAGTTCCTAAATGAATGTAGCGAATGCTTGGAGGCAATGTTAGAGAAAGTTCCTAAATGTTGTGGGACAAAGATTGGTTGGCAAGTTCTTGCTCCAAGTTGTTTGATTAAGCATGATGATTTTATCTTCTATCAACTTATTTCTCAAACTTCTCAACCTTTGCATGATTCAGGTATTTTTTGCTTTTAATAAAAAAAATGTTTTTTAAATAATATTTTTTATTTAAATTATTGATTTATAAATATTAATTACTGATTTATTAAATATAAATAAATATTACCGTGTGAGATTGAACAACTAGAAATTTATACTACGAATAAGAAACAAATATATATGTCTTGTTTAGATCGTTTTACAAAAGTTTATAAAAAAAAATGAGATAGAACAATACAGACGTAATTAAAAGTGTAAATCTTAAATTTTGACAGTGCTAATTTAATCTCTTTTTTTTAAGTTAGGCTTGAAATAAGACAAACTATCACTTTCTAAAACTTAACACACAATATACTTTTAAAAGATAAAGAGAAATATTTTGTTTGTGACTCTTCCTGCCGGCGATAAGCAAATATAGGGGCAAAATAGTCTTTACAAATACAATTAATGTTTTTTATTTTATTTTTATATATAGAGTATAATTAGTGGTTTTGTCAACATAATTTTTTATTCTATTAATAACTTGTTATGGATTCTCATTTCAATTTTCTTCTAAATCATTGTCGATGGGTCAAAGGTTTGGTGACATTACTTGGTGTGAAACCTCTAGGCTGTCTTCCTATTTATGACACTTGACTTTTCAACATTATTCACTCTTTATTAGGAGAAATTAATATGGAAAATCTAACCTCATTTTCTAGACACCTCCACCAAAAGATTTTATGTACAGTCCGAGTACACACACTCAATTTCATATCATAAAAGTACTGGTGTAAAAAAAACACGACATGCTTGAAAAATAATGTTTGGAATTCTTTATTAAATATTGAATAAAATATGAAGCTTAGAGCGATATTAAAGAGATGTCACAACATCTTCTAGTGTTCATTAAATTTAATTCATTACTTTATACATGAATCATACTAAGCTATATATACAAATTATTGCAAAGCTATCGGATAGTTGCGACATGAAGAGTTAATTATTCTAACTAACTTTGCTAATCTCTTCTCACGACCAATCTTACTAATAATCTAATGTTGTTATTCTACTTTTAATATTCTTCAATATCCCCTCACTCCGAGAAAGCTCATGGTTGGAGTTGGGACAAGTTTGTTGATAGATGTTTTGTGAGAACATAAGCTATAAGCTATTTTTGCAATTCCATGTATATGTTGATATGCTGGCATAGAGGATTGAATTATGAGACATTACAACACTTAAATTGTCACATAATAGAGTTAGTACAAGATAGTTGACATGTAGTTCAGAGATGAGAGACTCAAGCCATAAGAGTTCAGAAGTAGTATGAGCCAAAGTTTTATACTCAGCTTCAGTGCTAGAGAGTGCCACTAAAGATTGTTTCTTTGAACTCCACGAGATCAGGATGGAACCAAAGTACACACATGATTCTGAAGTTGATTTTTTTCATCATAATCACTTGCCCAATATGAATCACATAGGCCATTAAGAAGAATTTTTACAAAGGAATAGCTGGTGAGAGAAGCACAACATGATGAGCTATATCACTTAAGTATTAAAGGATGTGTTTGACTACACTCCAATGAAATTCTAAAGGGTTTTTCATGAATTGACACACTTTATTGATAAAATAAGCTATGTTAGGTCTAGTAATTAAAATTATATATTGAACAGTTTCATCTGTTGATCTATATAGGAAGGGATTAGTCAATGTGTCTATTCCATGTTTGTTCGGTTTTCAATGGTTGAACATCGGTGTGCTTCTTCCATTAACTTCAGTCTTGTTGGCCTTGGACAATAAGTCTTTGATGTACTTGGTCTGTGTCAACAACATAGCTCCATTGAATTGATGATACACCTCAATTCCAAGAAAATACTTTGGTTTGCCAAGTTTCTTTAGTGTAAACTTGTTATGAAGCTTTGAGATCAAATAATAAATTATTTAGGAGATGTGTCCATTATAAGGATGTCATAAACATAAACTAAATGTATATAGAGTGATATCTTAGTGCTTATAGACAAAGAGTGAGAGATCATACTTGCTGGAGAAAAAACCAAACTGAAGTAAAGTTTGATGGAATTTTTCATACCATACCCTTAGAGCATGTTTTAGACCATATGTTTCCATATTTAATTTTCACACAAGAGTTAAGATGGTGTTGATAAAACCAAGTGGCTATTGCATGTACACTTCTTGAAGACATCCATTGAGAAAAACATTATTGATGTCAATTTGGTGGATTTCCAGTTTATATTTAAGAGCCAGAGATGTGATGATTCTAATGGTGGTAGACTTGACTACAGGTGAAAAGGTTTCATGGAAATCAAATCCTTGTTATTGGTGAAAGTCTTTTACTACAAACTAGGCCTAGTATTTGTTAATGCTTCCATATGGATTTTCTTTGACCTTGAAAATCCACTTGCACCCAATGGATTCTTTGTGGTAGGAGATTAGTAAGAGACCAAGCGCCATTCTTTAAGAGAGAGTTACATTCAACCTGCAATGCTTAAGACTACTCAAGTTGAGACAAGGCATGCTTTGTAGCGGTGGGTTCTAAGTAAATCGGGAATAACTTTGGTTTGGATTTTCATTTTTGGCTCTTGTAAGTATGGCGTGATTATTCGTAATGAGTGATATATTTAGAGGTTGGCTATGAAAGGAGGGAGATAATGACTTTGTGGACTGAGACATGTACTGGAAATAGAAAGAAGTGGTACTCTCACTTTCTTCAAGTGACTTGTGAGGTAAGTTATGTGCATATCTAGAAACATTATGACTGAGGCCATGACTATAGTTATGAATGGATGTAATTTTTCCAGGATGAATATTATTGAGTATTTGATGGTTCAAGAGTGTTCTTAGTTGGCAAAACTTGATTTAAGGAAGTTGGCTCAGGTTGGAAATGATGAGGTATGATTGACCCAACCTGAGGGATTGACCCTGGTAAGTGAAGTTCATTGATTGTTTTAAGATATGTGGTAGGATGAGTTTGATAAATGGGTACAAGTTGATATTTCTTGTAGAAATCTAGAGGTAAGGTAGAGTTGTTATGAGCTTGGTATGAGTTTTCTGAGGGAGAGTTATGTGAGATAGCATGTAAGTCAAGATAGGGAAACTCTATTTGATTGAACACTAAATCTTTTGAAATAAAGATTATGCATTTCTTATTTATGCATTTGTATCCTTTATGTGTAGGCGAGACTCCCGAGAACATACACTTTTTGTGAACTCCAACTTGTATTGATTATAAGGTCTTAGGAGAGGATAAATGACACATACAAACACCTTTATAAACTTTTATTCAGGTAGCTTGTTATGCAAGGCAAAGAAATGTGGAGTGAATTTTGGTAGAGTTGTTGTAGGTATGTTATTAATCAAGTAAACTATTTTTGTAAAGCTTTGATCCCAAAATTCAATTGGTAATGAGGCATGAGCTAGAAAAGTGAGACATATTTCCATAGTTTGTTTATGATTTCTTTCTAATGCTTCATTTTAATGAGAAGTATATGGACATGTTAGTCTATACACACTTCCAAGCTCATTAAGATATTTTGTAAAAGCCTTGAATTCACCACCATAATATGACTAAACTGGTTTGTTGTTGTTATTAAACCGAGTCCTAGCATAACTTTGGAACAATTTGAAGGCATACAAGGTATCACTTTTCTGTTTTAATACGTAAATACAAGTGTATCTTGTAAAAGCATATACAAAAGAAACATAGTAGAAGTAGCCACAACTAAATGGTGAAAGTGGTGTCCTCCACAAGTTAGTATGAATCAGTTCAAATGAATTATTATACTTAGCTAGAGTTAATGAATCATATAGCCCGTGAGACTTTCCACTACCACAAGAATGGCTAAAATCAGTAGAATTATTGTAATTCAAGTGAATTTTACACAATGCAATTACACTATATGAACAACTCTAGGATAAGCATGCCCTAGTCTAGAGTTCTAAATGGAAAATCATTTAGAACAAAAACAACATTATAAGACCTAAGGCTAGCAGTTGTATGATTGACAATAGAGTACATATTTTGAGACTTATTGGATATGAGATTATGAGAGGGTTCTAAATCTAGATTGTTGAAGCGATATAATCCATTTTCATCAAAGAACCCTTCAAGCAACACCAAGCTAGATGCCTTTGATTTAACATATCATTTATTAGAATGGAACTCGAAATACATGTTGTTATCTTTAGCGAATTTAGAGACTGATATTAGATTCCTAGTGATGTTGGAAACATGAAGGAGATTATTCAATTTTAGCATTGAATTTGACACACCTTTGGACCTAAAGTTTGAGAAACCAACAAACTTGACTTCTAGGTTATAACCATTTCCAAATAATCCATCATTAGGATGGGCACAAGACAAAATATTTTGTAAGTTTAAAGGGAAAGAAGTATTATGATGAGATCCACTTGAGTTTGAAAACTAGGCATGAGATTCTAGACCTTGAGGAACCTGAAGACTATCTTGGTGAATTAAGAGAGAAATTGCCTGAGTAGATGTAGAGGGTTGAATTTTCTGACTGTGATTACTCTAACTAGGTCCACTTTCAGAAGAATCGTGTGCTTGAGGCTTCAAGGGTGGAGGTTCATAGTATCAATCATATATGTGCCATAAATCAACAACAACATGACTTTACTTACTGCAAAGTTGATAAGGTGGCCGATTCTTTATGATGTTGTCCTATCTACCATGACCCCTTCCTTAAAAGGAACGAGCTCTACCATGAAAATGTTGATAAGGACCTAGTTCCGCACCATTTGTGGCGGAAAAATGATTGGGTACAACTTGAGCAACATTAGCAGCTAAACTTGGAGTTGAGAGTTCTTGGAGATATTTGTCTAATTCTTCTTCTTGAATATATTAAATTACCTCAGCATCATAAATATCAGTTAGTTCAACATTACTATAAACTATCATAATGAATGGATTGTATTCTTCATGGAGACCTTGAAGAATTGTTTCAATTTGGGCCCTTTTTAGATATTGGATTACCAATTACTAATAATGAGTCAATTATTGCTTGAATTCAAAGGACACACTCAGAGATTTTATATTTACCTTTCTTGCCAGACTTCAACTCAGATAATAATTGATGGATTGGAGCTCTCATTTGTGAATGGAAATGTTTGTGCCCCTTGTCCCACATTTCATATGCATGTTTGCATGAAAACAAATATGGTAACATAACTTCATAAATTGTAGATAGTAACCAAGTAAACAATGCTTGATCTTGGGAAATCCAAGACTCGTAATCTTCATAAACAACATTAGCTAGTCTACCATTATCATTTTTGAACATATGAGAAATGTGAAGGGTTACCACCACTTTATGAAGATTGCTAGATAGCATGACACCTTCTACCCGCTGATTCCACGTAATAAAGTTATTTTCTTAGAGTTCGATTGATAGCTTCGATGAAAATGTGTTGGTCGAGCTTGAATTCCCCATTTGCAATGAAAAAACTTGTGAAGATCAAACCACATGTTGTGTGTCTTGCAACAAGTTTTCTTTTTCTTCCATTTAAGATTCTTTGAAGCTTGATGAAAGACTCGATCTGCGGAAAGTATTGACAAAGGAAAAAAGTTTCTATGAAGATGAATTAGATGTAGAAGCGACCCTTTGTTAGGCGTATGATATCATTAGAATTAAAGTTTGACCTAACTCATCCATAAAAAATCAGCTTGTAAGGTGAGAGACGTAACTCTACATAAACTCTTTAGAGGATATATGTCTATCCAATGTAGGACTCGGGATCTTCCCAATACACTCCCTCCCGCCCAATACTCTCTTGGGCTTGGTATGTGGTTATAAATAATGGACGATCAATGGTCTGATCGATAAGCTTGAATATCATATTAAATGAACTATCAATCATAGAGAGAGAGAGAGATATCACAAGAACTAAATATCTAAAGTTATTATTCTACTTTTAGTATTCTCCAATGTTAACAAAATGTAGGTAGAAGTACAATTAATGAAATATGAAAAGAAACTTCTCAACATGGTGGATTGGATTGAGAAATCCTCTTTAAAAACTTCTCAAATGAAACCACAATTAAAGGGCTTAGTGGGAGACTACTTTTATTGAAAATTCCTTTGCAAAATTTTGTAATATGTTTTATTTTTCTGAAGAAATGACCTATTGTTATCTCTTGATTTATTTTTCTGATTTTTTGAAGCATTTAGAAAATATGCCTAAGTTTTGCAAAAAACATGACAATTTTATCTTTCCCATTGTCGCACTTGCAGCTGAGAAAGGAGGTTCAAGTAAGCCAAATACCTTAATTATCATCATTGTCATTTCTTTGGTGGTTTCACTTGCTCTCGTGAGTTTCTGCATTTACTTCATATGGAGGAAATATCATTCAAATAAAGGTAATCAACAAGGAAAATGTAACACATAACGACACCCCGAGTTTGAAGTAGATATGAAAGTTAATTGTCTATATAAATTTATAGTAATTATTATTATTATGTCTATCAATAAAGACATGCAACACTTAATGATTTTTTGTTGATGATTTTCTATATAAAAAGTGTGGTTTAATTAAATTGAAACTAACAATAGTTTTCTTATTATAGATGGATTGGTGTCAAAGACAATTACTACATCACATCATGGTGATATTAAAAGATATGATTCCTTACATGTTGACCTTCCAATAATCCCTTTAATTTGGATTCGAAAAAGTACTAATGACTTTTCAGAATCATGTAAATTAGGAGAAGGTGGATTTGGCCCTGTTTACAAGGTATAGTATATTTTCACTTTGGTAAAAAAATGTTAATATATATTACTATTCATGTTAATATTTTCTTTTCAAAATCTATTTTAGGGTAATTTATTAGATGGAACAGAAATTGCAATTAAAAGACTCTCTATAACATCTGGTCAAGGTTCAAAAGAGTTTAAGAATGAAGTAATCTTTATAGCTAAATTACAACATAGAAACCTTGTGAGACTCTTGGGTTGCTGCATTGAGGATAATGAAAAGTTGCTTGTATATGAATACATGCCAAATTCAAGCCTTGACTTTCATCTATTTGGTATGTTTTAAACTAAATATTTAATGCTTTATACCTTTATTTTTTTGCATTTACTTTCTTTTTTAGTTTCAATATATTCATGTAAATTTTGTAGAAATTAGCTACTAGTTTTGACCAACTTTGATCAACTACCTTATATGTGCAACCAACCAACATATAAGTGACTATTGGATTATGTTATGATATAGAATTTAGATTTTAAACAACATCGACAGGCTATTAGATGATGATGGTGTTTGGTGGTAATTCTTATCTCGGGCCTCAATACGAGGGAGTGTACCATAAATGTTTTGACAATCAAGTTTGTGACAATCGTATGCATGAGATTTTAGATTAAGAATAATGGTGAACCTAGTCTTGAGAAATCTGTGAGACTTTATAGTTAGGGTTCTAAGTCTAGAGGGCTTAGACGCTTCTTCGAGACAGTTGTATCCTAGGACAATTGTCTTGAGATCTAGGGATTATCCTTATTTAATGACTTGTTAAAGGTCGCCTAGTTAAGATTCTATGTATCTTTAGGGCTTGCCTATTATTGAGTTCAATTTGTTTTCTAAGATTCACATGATCCGAGAAATTAGTCCCCAAGTGTTTAGCTAAAGGAGTTTAACAATGACTTGAATTCAGCGTTTCTTTGAAGTCATAGATGACTAGTTATGAGACCTTTATTGGGACTATCTTCAACTGAGTTTTTCATATGACATGGTCAACTTATGAATATTTGTCTTTCATGTATTTTTAAACTCGTGTCAACATCTTAGAGGTCACATGAATCTTTTAATATCTATTTTCATGTATGGTGTTATTGATGTCCCAACATCTCTAAGAACAAGTCATTGGCCAATATGTAAATGTTCTCACCCCTTCTCCCAAATAGGAGCCCTCATATCAAGGTGGAGTAATTACTCTTTGCAAGTTGTTGAGATTTTGGCATTCTATAAAAGTTAATGGTTACCGTTCTCACTTACCCAAGCTAGGTTAGGACTTTAGTTCTCAGAGTTTTCCAGTCTCATATCATCGTAGCTGAAGAGCTAAGCCGAAGAATTGACTTTGTTATCACTAAGGTTATTTTCAGTCCTCTTATCTGCAAAACATTTTATGCAACATAATATATAAGTAGCATTGCATATAAAATTAGATACCATTAACTAATCTTGGATATGAATTCCATAACTTTGGTGTAAAATTGACTTTGCAAGGAGTAATTGATGTGTTAGATATTAATTAGTTACAAGTAAATAATTTGTCACTTATCTTATTTGTTAGGCATTTATTTTATTGAAGGTCCAAATTCATTTTGATAAAGGGCTTATGTCATCCCATTATTGTTGAAAGGACAAGTGGGTATAACATCGTTAAAAGGCATAAGTCATATCCATAAGGGCCAGAGCCCCTATCATCCTAACTGAATGGATATGGAAGGGGTTTGACTTTCTTAAAGATTGTAGTCATTTCCATGAAGGGTCAAGGTCATCTCATCTTAGCTGAAATTCTAGGTGGGCCTAGCATTGTTGAAGGGACGAGGTTCTCTCCTCCTAAATAAAGGGATGGATAAGGCCTATCTTGCTAAAAGAAAAATTCATTTCCATAAAGGGAATAGGTCATTTCATCCTATATGAAAGGTCGAGCAAGCCTAGTATCACTGAAGAGTTGAGGTCCTCTCATCCTTGCTGAAAGATTAGATAAGGTCTACCTTTATTGAAGGAGGAAGTCATATTGATAAAAAGGGTTAACTTGGATTTTTATCGCCGTGTCTGTTTAGCAAATACTACATATTCTTTATGATAATTTGTTCTTCTTAGATGTAGACTCAGATGATTAGTTAACCTACAATTCTTCCTTTTCTTTAAAGTAGGCTCAAACAATAAAAATAATTTCTTAGGGCCAACTATCTATTACGTATGTTGTTGTCAAATGATTTTATGAGAAAATTCATGTTGTTGTCTAATGATTTTATAAGAAAAATTCATTTTTAACCAATATCTAAAGATTAATCATGCTAAACTATAAAAACTAGAACTATAAATATGATATAAATAATAGAACAAGTATACGAGTGAGGATAAACTTACTCCAAGAATAAGTTTTTTTAGCTTACTCCAAATCATAGACTTTAATTTGAATATAATCTAATGGTTAATTAAGTAAAAATTCTAATCAACCATTAGATTGTTGGAAATCCACCAAATTCTATGATGAATTTCTACCACAATGACAATTTAATTATGAGACAAAAAAAAAGAAGACAAGACAAATAATTTCTGCAGAGTTTCTCTCTGCTCACAAACTTTGAAAACTTTCTTATTCACTTTATAACTGCAAAATACTGTGAATGACTTGCTTGACTTGCTTACAAAAATAGGGGTTACTCCCTCTATTTATAACTGAGCTTACACCATAAGCCCAAAGCCCAAAATATCTTTTTGTTACTAAATCAAATCTAATTTATTCTAGACTTAAATCAAATCTATTTAAATCTAAAACAAATCAAATCTTTTCGACACATAGTTTCAACACATTGGATTACAATTTAACACACCACCTAATTCATTGTGTCTAAACTATCTATGTTCATCATGGCTCTTAGCTTTCTGAATACTTCGACTTGCACTCCCTTCGTCATGATGTCTGCAATCTGATTCTCAGTTCTGCAGTGTTCTAAATTCATCTTCCCATCTGCTACCTCCTCTCGAAGATAATGGAACCTCATTTCGATGTGCTTACTTCGACCATGTGCTATTGGGTTCTTCGCCAGATTAATAGCTGACATGCTGTCTATCTTCATGGTAATTGCTCCATGATTTTTCCCTGTTATCTCTTCGGCCAAGTTCACCATCCAAGTTGCTTGACATGCACAAAGAGAAGCAGCTACGTATTCTGCTCCGCATGATGATAATGCCACTACTGGTTCCTTTCTTGAATTCCAAGCAACTGGTGCACCACCTAGCATAAACACATATCCTGCTGTTGACTTTCGATCTTCAGCATCACTACACCAACTCGAATCAGTGTATCCCACTAACTTGCATTCTTTTCCTTTATCAACTGTAGGAAACAAAATGCCATAATCGAAAGTTCCTTTGAGATAACTTAGTATCCTCTTCACTGCTGCTAGATGTGATACCTTTGGCTTCTGCATGAATCTACTTACCATACCTACACTATATGCTAAGTCAGGCCTTGTATGACAAAGGTATCTCAATGATCCAATAAGTCTTCTGTATTGGGTTGGATCAACATCATCTTCATCTGCATCTTTCGACAGTTGCAGTCTTGGTTCTGCAGGTGTCGAAGTTGAGTTGCATTCTTCCATCTCAAACCTCTTGAGAATTTCTCCTGCATATCTTCTTTGATGCATCATCAAACCTCTACTGCTCTTGTAGAATTCGATACCAAGGAAATATGAAATCTCACCCAAATCAGACATTTCGAGTTCCTTGCTGAGATCACCTTTGAAGTCTTCGATCTCACTTTTACAACTACCTGTTATCAACAAATCATCTACATAGAGACATAGTATAAGCAATTTACTCTTGCTTCTTCTTACATATACTCCATGTTCAGTTGTGCACTTCAAAAATTCCTTCTCCCTTAGAAAAACTATCAATTTTCTTATTCCAAGCCCTTGGAGCTTGTTTCAATCCATACAGGGCTTTATGTAGCTTGTACACCTTTCTTTCTTCGTCATGTTTCATAAACCCAACTGGTTGTTTAACATAGACTTCTTCATCTAAGGGTCCATTTAGGAATGCACACTTCACGTCCATCTGACATATGTGCCAACTGTTTATTTCTGCCAGACCAACAACCAACCTGATTGTTTCGATCCTAGCAACAGGTGCAAAAACTTCATCGAAGTCTATTCCTTCTTTCTGTAGAAATCCCTTCGCCACAAGTCTTGCTTTGTGTCGAGTTACTTCACCTTTCGAATTCGTTTTCACTTTGTATACCCACTTGACATCAATTTCCTTCTTGCCTTGAGGCAATTCGACAAGTGATCGAGTGTTGTTGTCTTCGATAGAATACTTCTTCGTTCATTGCTTTCACCCACTTCGAATCCTTTAATGCTTCAGCTACATTAACAGGTTTGACATCTGCATAGAAAGCATAATGTACCAGCTCACCTTCATTATCTATTACATCATCTGATGTAATCACACAATCTTGCAATCTTGCAGGCATGCGTCTTGTTCTTTGAGGCCTGCTTGTACTTGGTATATCTGCTAGTTCCTCTTGTCAAACTTCTCTTTCGATTTGAGTTTCTGGCTCTTCATGAAGGATTCCCACTGAATCTTTCTTGATATTTTCAGTCCAATCCCATTATTTAAACTCATCTATGATCATGTCCCTGTTGATCACAATCTACTTTTTCACTGGATCGAACAACTTGTAGCCTCCTGTCGAATGATATCCAACTAGAATCATTTGACTTGACTTATCATCAAGTTTTCTTCTCAACTGATCTGGAACATGTCTATGTGCAATAGATCCAAATACCTTCAGATGACTCAAGCTAGGCTTCACACCAGACCAACATTCTTCTGGAGTAATTCCTTCTAGCTTCTTTGTAGGACATCTGTTCAAAATGTATGTTGCAGTCGAAACAGCTTCACCCCAAAACTCTTTAGGTAAATTCTTGCCTTTTAACATACTTCTCACCATATTCATGATGGTTCTATTTTTCCTTTCTGCAATTCCATTTTGTTGTGGAGTATAGGGTGGCACCACCTCATGCATAATCCCTTCCTTTTCACATAATATGTCGAAGTCTTTCGACACATATTCTCCACCACCATCAGTTCTCAAAACTTTGAGCTTTCGACCACTTTGTCTTTCGACCATAGACTTAAACTTGGTAAATACTTCGATCACTTCACTTTTCTTCTTGATCAGGTAAGTCTATAGCTTTCGACTGAAATCATCTATGAATGTAACAAAGTATTTGTTACCTCCCATCGAATCCACCTGGATTTGTCCACATACATCAGAGTATATGACTTCAAGACTAGCCTATGATCTGTTTCCTGCATCCTTGCTGAAGCTATTCTTGTGTTGTTTCGCCTGCACGCATTCCTCACATACCTCGTTTGGAATGTCAATTTCTGGCAATCCTGAAACCATATTTCTTCTCTTCAAATCTCTGATGTCTCTGAAGTTGAGATGGCCTAGTTTATAATGCCATATCCATTCATCTTTACTAGCTGCAGTCGAAAGGCACTTATGCTCCATCACATTTAGTTCAATCTTGAAGGTTCGATTCTGAGACATAGGAGCCTTCAAGATTAATCTCCCATTTGCATCAATGACTCTCATCATCTTATCTTCAATTGACACATTATAATTATTTTCGACCAACTGCCCTATATTGAGCAAATTGCTCTTCATGCCTGGTATGTACAACACATTGGAGATTATTGACCTTTTGCCATCTTTCCTCATAATCATAACATCACCAATACCTTCAGCTGTTAGGGTATTGTCATTTTCAAATTTTACCATATTTTTCATTGAGGGCTTTATATTGACGAACCAATCTTTCCTTCCAGACATATGTGATGAACATCCCGAATCCAAGTACCATTGGTCTTTGAATCTATCTTCATCTCTTGTTGTGACCATCAGCATCATCTCTTCTTCTTCTTCATGTTTTTCAAGCTTTGCATCACTTTCTTAATTCTTTCATTTTTCTGGACAATCACTCGCATAGTGTCCATACTTCTGACAATTGTAACATTGAATGTGACTCTTATCAGGTTTTCGACCACCACCTCTTCCTCTATTTGCAACACCACCTCTTTGGTTGCCTTGGTATGGTCTTCTTTGATTCGACACGTTTCCTTCAATCTGGTTTCCTCTACCATTCGATTTTTTGTAGCCACCTCTACCTCTGTCGAAACACTTTCCTTTGCCTTTGGTCTCTTTTGCTGAATGTGCCTGCAAGTCCACACCACTCTTCGATTTTCCTATAGCTCTTTCGTTCATTCTTTGTTCATGAGATTCAAGCGTCCCTTGAAGCTCTTCCTTTGTCAATTTCGACAAGTCTTTCCCCTCTTCTATCGCCACCACTATGTGGTCGAACTTAGGAGCTAAAGATCTCAAGATCTTCGACACAACAACTCTTATTGTTAACGCTTCTCCATATATCTTGATTTGATTTACTAGTTATGTAACTCTAGTGAAGAAATCAGATATGCTTTCACTGTCTTCCATCTGAAACAGTTCATAGGTCCTTTTGTGAGTTTGTAACCTCACTTCTTTCACTTTCTCAGTGCCTCCAAAAGACTTTTCAAGGATTTCCCAAGCTTCTTTTGCAGATTCTGAATCACTAACCTTTTCGAAATTGTCTGGGTTGACACATTGATGAATTATAAATAATGCTTTATAACTCAACTTCTCAGATTCTATGTATTTCTTCTTTTCTTCTTCTGAAGCATTTTCTCCAAGCGCTTCGACTCCATCTTTTACAAGGTCCCAAAGACCTTGACACCTGAATAAGACTTTCATCTATTTTCACCAATTCTCATAGTTGTCAACTTTCAGAATTGGTAGCGTTGCTGGATAGTTTGCATTTCCGTAACTTGTCATCGTGAATTCTTTAATCGTTCTTGATTGACACTTCCCTCCAATCGAAACAAAAGCTCTTGATACCAGATGTTGGAAATCCACCAAATTTTATGATGAATTTCTACCACAATGACAATTTAATTATGAGACAAACAAAGAAAATAAGACAAGACAAATAATTTCTGCAGAGTTTCTCTCTGCTCACAAACTGTGAAAACTTTCTTATTCACTTTGCAACTGCAAAATACTGTGAATGACTTGCTTGACTTGCTTACAAAAATAGGGGTTACTCCCTCTATTTATAACTGAGCTTACACCCTAAGCCCAAAGCCCAAAATATCTTTTTGTTACTAAATCAAATCTAATTTATTCTAGACTTAAATCAAATCTATTTAAATCTAAAACAAATCAAATCTTTTCGACACATTAGATTACAATTTAACATAGATTAGATTCAATTTAAAGGCTATGATTTAGAGTAAGCTAAAATAACTTACTCTTGGAGTAAGTTGATCCCCACTCTAAGTATATTGCACTTATCTTTTAGGTTTTTGGTATTTTGTTTGAACTTCTCCCCTTAGATGGTCATTCCTACCTTTACAATGTTCGCAATTGACTTCACATTATTAATTTTAAATCCACATTCAATAAATGAATAATTGATCGCTTAATTTGTCATGGACTAATGTCTTCTTTGACAAGAAATTGTATCCTCATCCTTGACTTGGACCATATGAGGATCATAATAGATAGTGACGCGAGGTTTGTTACAATCCATATTGTATTTGAGATTACCACATACATGCATGTTTTTAAGGTAAAACATGAGATTTAATTTCTACAATGTATATCTCAACAAATTCTATGCTCTTTATATCACAATAAATTTTCTATGTAACACTTATCAAAGTTATGAAGAAAAACTACCATAAAAGTATATTTCATGATATTCTCCTATGTAGGCATAATATGTTAAGAAAAGAGGAAATTAATATATGAAACTACCTTTTTTAAATTATTTAGTAAAAATAGTAATAACTTGTAGTAATTAAAAGTTCTGCTACAGACTCTCTAAGGGACACTGCATTATTATAAAAGAAAGGTTATAGGGTATTGTACATTCAACTATCTAAAGCTCAATAAAGTAATGAATTTGGTGGTTCACCAATTTTTAGCATGATTTAGACATATATCAAAGTACATTGTCATAAATTACCACTTATTAGAGTACTAATATTGAACTAACATACCATACACAAAATAAAACATTAAACATACCAATTTGTTCATAATTGAGTTAGTTTTACTCTCTCGTGTTTCCTAACCCTTTTACATTGTGAATGTCCTTCTATTGATAATAATGTAGGACCTAGAGAATAGATACAAACTACTTCAAAATCAAGGTAGGATAAGAAGCAATCACATGGTAAACAAACTCAAACTTAATTGCTTAATACAAATTATTATATTGAAATGATATTATTAAAAACCTGACACAAACCTTCACCACTAGGCCACACACACACGCACACATCATACCAATATTTATTTTGAAGAAGTCTAAAAGTTATGAGAGCTTTCTTACATTGACACCCTTTATGTGTATCATCCAATGATTAAAAAAATCTAAGAGAATAACTCAATATCAAAATTGATACATCTTTAAGAAAATAATTATGTTTGTGTATTTTATAGATGAAACATATATGTAATATGATGAAACATAACATAAATAAATTATTATTTGACATCCTTTAAAATATTGATACTAATATTTTTTATTTTGAAAAAAATATTAATACACGTAATTGAATGAGATTGCTTGAAAATAAACTTATGAAAGAAAATTGATTATTCCTCCATAAATATTTTCATGAATAACTCATCTTTTGTGTACAAGTTTGTTACTTGTTCTATACATGTGAACTAACTTTCTCTTTGTCACTTGAATGTTAGATGAAGAAAAAAGAAAAGTTTTAGATTGGAAGTTAAGAATGAACATTATTAATGGAATTGCAAAAGGACTCTTGTACCTTCATGAAGACTCTAGACTTAGAGTAATCCATAGAGACCTAAAAGCTAGTAATGTTCTTCTAGATCAAGAGATGAATCCAAAAATATCTGATTTTGGATTAGCAAGGTCATTTGAAAAAGACCAAAGTCAAGAAAATACAAGAAGAGTTGTGGGCACCTAGTATGTGTTATTATTGATGTTGACAATTATTTCTATTTAAGTGTAATTAATTGTAAGAAAATGTTATATTTAATGGCTTGTTAATTATAATTTTGTTACTTTTATGTGTTTGCAGTGGATACATGTCTCCAGAATATGCTATGGAAGGATTATATTCAGTGAAATCTGATGTTTTCAGCTTTGGAGTTCTTTTATTAGAAATAGTTTGTGGAAAAAGAAATGGTGGGTTTTATCTTGCAGAGCATGGTCAAAGTCTTCTTATATATGTGAGTTTTTTTTCTTTTACATCAGATGGTAATTAATGATATCAAATATATATTTAATTCTATCCAAAAAAAAAGTCAATCATTTTCAATATCAAAGATAAATTGTATGTTTTTTATTGATATAAGTGACCTTCTATTTTTTATTAAATATAAAAAACAATTATGTTTTATTTTATAAAAATTAAATCTTATAAATTTTATAAGAAAATATGATTATATTAAATTTAAATAATTGACATTACAAAAGAAATTAATGAAGTTGTTTTAAGTAGGATTTTTAATATGAACTATATGCATGCAGAGTTGGAATCTTTGGTGTGAAGGAAAAAGTATGGAACTTTTGGATGCAATACTAAAAGAGACATGCATAGAAAATGAAGTTAAGAAGTGTGTACACATTGGTTTATTGTGTGTACAAGAAGATGCAATCGATAGACCAACCATGTCCAATATTGTTGTCATGTTGGCAAGTGAGACAATGACACTTCCCACTCCTAATCAACCTGCATTTTCAGTTGGAAGAAAAGTAGTTGAAGATGAATCAACGTCAAAATCTTCCCATAATGTTTCTATAAATGAAGTTACAATATCAAATGTCTTTCCTAGATAGTCGATATCACTAGAGTTGTTAAAATGAATTTGATCTTTCAGACTGATTCATTGACTTTAAATTTCTGTATGAGATAGACGGTAAAAAAGAGATTCTATATATCTTTTCGAGACGACCCGACATACTTTTATTTTTTGATGGATCGGGATGAACCCACCATGTTAAAATTAAATATACTAATATAAGATTAGTTTACTTTGATAAACAAAATTGTTTAGGTAAAAAGAAGAGGTTGGTAGTCAATAGGTAGTATTTTACATAACTGTATGAGTTGTTTAGTTTTAGAAACTATGAACACTCTTATTTGTACTCATACTTTGTTATATAATTTTATAGAAGTTGGATGTTCTTGTAAATTGTAAATTGTAGTTAATAATTATCTCTTTTATTTTTCTTTTCTTTTTAGTTATTGACCGTAAATGTACTATGAATTCAAATATATCAGAAGTAAATGAGATATAAATTATATACAAAATCCATTATTTAAGGTAGGAGTATTCAAATAGTTGACAAAACCATATGAGTGAACTGAAATATGCGTCTGTCGACGAATTTGAACAGTCTCACCGTATATGGATATGGTGAAGTCAAATTATCGAATTGGTTGAACGATTCTTTATTTCATAACATGTTTTGTTTTAGGATATCATATTGTGAAAATTGTCCAGGCCTGCCACCCCTCAGACCACTAGGTAATCTAAAAAAACTCTATTCTAATGATTCTAGAATTGGAGGAATGGATGACTGTTTGTGATACATCTCCAAAGTTTCCTAGTCTTACACGTATGTCACTACACAATCCTAAACTTAAAGGGGACAAATCTGGAAACCTTCTAAAGCTTACAATTTTATCGATGAAACATTTTCCCAAACTCAAATGGATGATACCTAATAACCTTCCTCCCCTTACTCAATTTGAGTTAGTAAGTATCACATACTTATGAAATCACGACATTCAAATGATGATAACAACATTATAATTATAAGATTTATGACATGTATCAATTCTGTTAGAGATATGAACTTAAAAATAATTCCATCTCTAACATGCTTCCCAAGAGATGATCTTCCCAAAACTATTATATCTATATTTATTCGGGAATATGTGAACCTCAAGTTCCTTGCTCATGAATCCTTGCACAATTGCACATCACTTTAGAATTTGAGTATAACCTATAGTTGTAACTCAATGAATTCGTTTACTTTGTGCTCTCTACCATTCCTTAAAAATCGATACAATTGGTTTTGTAAACATATAAAATCAGTATTAATTACAGAAAATGCATCAGAATAAAATCTCTTGTTTCTTAGTACCATCGAAATAGGGAATTGCGATGAATTAAAGTTAGTTTCCCTAAGTGGATTGTCCATCTCTAACCTTACTCATTTAATTGTGTTTCATTGTACAAAGCTTCATTTGCTACCAGAATCAATAAAGGTTATAGTTAGCCTTTAAGTAATGGAAGTTATTGACCTTCCAAATTTGCAATCGCTTTCCATGGAAGATTTTCTCATCAGTTTGCAAGATTTGGTTGTTCATAATGTTGGAGGTATTTTATGGAATACAACTTCGGAATGGCAGACTTCTCTTTCAAAGTTGAAAATTTGGGATGATAATATAGTGAAGGTGTTGATGAAAGCACAATTTCCGTTTAAACCTCATAACCTCATTTTCTTATATATTTATAAATTTGGCGGAACCCCAATGAAATCACCTATGGTAATCACCACCACAGTCAAACCAGCGGTGGAGAGAAAGAATATGGTAAGGGGGAACATCATCACGTTGTAGCCATCATAGGTGAAGAATCCCGAGTGAATGCCTCATCAAAGGGGATGATGAAAAGGAAGATTATTGAACCGATAGACATCCATAAGAAAGAGGGAAGTGCTTCAGCCAAAGCTCTAGATAGGCCAATACTTGGGTTATGAGATTGTGAGAAAGTCGGCGGGACCCCAAATGAGATCTCCCCCCTATAGTCATAGCCGCCATAGTCTGACACTTTAACGTGTCATATAAACTTATTGACAATGAAAACTCTTGTGATACAATGTAGCCGAAGCTATTCAAGAAGAAGGGCCTTAAGAAAGATAATTTATGGTCAGACCACAGACTCCCCGTAGAGGTATATAGAGTTGATGATATCTATGAAGTTGTGGCCTCACCGGTCCACCTCAAGCTTAAATTATACAACCTTCAAGGTGAGCCAATATAAATAAATATTGACCTTGAGGCGAGCCCTTGAAATAATGGAGATATGTTGTCTGCATTTGTAGAGAGATGAAACTCTGAGATGTAATCTTTTTTATCCTTCACGTGATGAGATATCCATCACACTAGATGGTGTCTCATGCCTGCTCGATCTTATGATTATGGGAATACATTTAGACGGGGACATGATTATCATACTGAGGCAATGGAGCTGATGGTGACCTATCTAAGATCTGACTTAGGGGATGCCCGATAGGAGATAGAAACCACCTGATGGTGTCATGTTAGTTTTCGATTCCTATAGAGGATGTATACATAGAAGTTGCACACGGAAGAGAAGGCCGTTAGTGATGATGATCATGTTATGCAACATATACACATTAAGAGCATACGTGTTGTACTTTGTTGACACGGCCATTTTTTATGGACAAGAGCGCCACTTATGTGGATATGGTTTACCTGAGATACTTTACTGACCTGGCTTGAATTGTTTGAACAAAATTATGTTATTTTTTTAAATGTAATTACTATCTTTTAAATTCAAATTGTATCATGATTAGTTAGATTTGGTGGTTGATTAAGATTTATTTAAAGGATTTGGTTTGATTTAAAGTTTAAGTTAATATTTGAACAAACTTAAAATAGAATTAAATTAATTTTTTTGATTATGTTTAGAATAATATAATTGAAAATAAATGAGTATAAATAAAAGAAAACAAAAATAAAATTTAAAGGAAAAATATAATAAAGTTTACGTTATCTTTTTATATACTTAGGGATGTCAATTGCATATGTTAATGGGGATATCTATGGGGATTATACAAACTTAGAGAATATCTCAAATACAATTAATGTTTGAAGCATATGCTAGTAAGGTTTTACTTCGAACAAATCTATGTAATGTATTGCAACGAATAATCATGCATTAGTAAGTCAATTTAGTTTCATTGTAATTCATTGAATTGCATAAGATTCCAAACAATTATAAAAAACTCGTCTAGAATCGAAGGAACTAAAGATGTGAAAAACACAAGAAGGGGGGGTTTGAATTAGGTTTTAAATCAAAAAACTTTTCTTTAAAAAAAGTCCCCTTTAAATAAAATAGTTTTTCTTTACTCTTGATAATAATAATAATAACGATGCAAGAAGGACAGAACAAGTTATGTTAATACTAGTTCACTTGAAAACTATCAAGCTAATTTAGTCCACCCGCCAAGGTGATTTCGCCTTATTAAACAAGGTCTTAATCCAATAATCTCAATGATTATTACAATGCAAAAGCTAACTGCAAGTGACTAAAAACAACCTCTAAGACACACTAATCTTAGACTTCTCAAGGATTCTGACCAACTGGTCCCTTAAGGTACAATCAAACAATAGTTTTAAAAAGGTTTGTTTATAATATATTTGCTTCTACACAAGTGGATTAGTAAATAGTATTTCAAGAATATAGACTTAAGAATTAAGGAATTCTATATACAGTATTTTGAAAATCGTGTAAATTAATAAACTTTTCCTTTAGTCTTCAAGCCTTTATATAGCCAGTAAAATAATATATCCCTTGAAGGGTATTTCTGAAACTTCATAGTAGTGGAATGAAACGTTTTGATTCTACCATGTACTATTGTACCATATAACATTATCTTCTAATCTTTTAGACTTCAAAGGCTTATGACGAGCATGAGTTAGAAGAAATAAAATAGAACTTGAGTCATCAAAACTTCAAGTCTTCAGAGTCTTCAGAACTTTGTCTTTAGAGTCTTCAGCACTCAGTCTTGAGAACCCTTTGTCTTCAGAAACATAAGTCTTCAGCATCTGGACTGTTCATTAGAACTTCTGTCTTCAGATCTTCAGAACTTAGTTTCTTAGAATGTGTTGTACCCCAAAATTTGCCCTCCCATATTCATCAAGAATTGTCAAAGTCAAGGTCACAAAATTCCCCAAGGACTAGGTAGTTCAATTGTCTCCTATACAGTCAAAACTAGGGTTTGGGTTCTGATCAAGCAAATGAACTTTTCAAAGGCCCAATCAAGTCTCATATGCCTACAAAGATGGTCAAGTATCCTCACATCAAGTTTCAAGGCATTCAGCTCAAAATTGCACAGTCAAAACCCTAGATTGCACTACAGTCAACTGTAGGGGCAAAATGGTCATTTGACAGTCAAAAGTTCAAATTTTTGGTCAATATATCATTTTGAAGCCACAAACATCATTTGATCAATGCTTGATCATGATTCTCAAAATTTGGCTCAGAAATCATCAAAGATGCAAAAGTTGCTATATTTGGACAGTTGGAAAAGTCAACTGAAATTGACCAGGGCATAACTTTCACATGGATTATCAGAAAAATTCCATCCAAAGCTCATTTTGAAGAGAAAGACATTTCCTACAATTCATCTTCATATTCCAAGTCCAAGAAATGCTCTCACAAAAAGTTATCAATTTCAACATTATAGGTCATTTTCAAAAGTCAACAAAAAGTGACTTTAAGTCAAAGGCCATAACTTGAGATTGGTAAATCAAAATGACATGGGACCAAAGGCATTGGTTAGAGGACTCAAAGACCTTTCCAAAATGTCCAAGAACATGTGAAAAGCTTAAAAATTGACCAAGTTATACCTTGTGGAAGTTGGGAAATTTTTGGAAATTTTTGAAAGTCAACAATGATGCAAAAGGCCTAAAAATGCAAATGGGCCCATTTTTCTTCCAAGTTTCTTCATGCCAAGCCTATGCACGACCACTAGGCCCAAAGGGAAGTATTTTCATATTTTTTAATTATTTATTTGAA